GTGCCTCGACATTTTCATACCCCACCGCTAGATCAAGGACTGACCACCGTTCTGCTTTCGCCACTCTGAAGTGGGCAAGGAAAACAGCACTCGCTTCGGCAAATGATGGTTAGGCATACGCAACGATTGTCGAACACATGAAGAAGTCCCAGTTCCGGTGCTCGTATAGGCCAAGTCTCACAGCCATACAACAAAACAGCCCGCATTGTAGTTTGATGAACACGTTGCTTGAGATTCAAGGATAAACCACTCTAACGCCTTAGGCGTCTCAAATTAGCACACACGGCCCGAGCCTTGCAGATTCTTGCATTCACCTCATCTGTCACACTAAAATCAGAACTAATACAACTTCCAAGATGCATAAAATGCTCCACAACCTCCAGTACCCGTGGCGTGTTTATCGACTGTATGTCCACGAGCATGACCTTACACTTCGTGGGTGCAAAGTGCATAGCAAAGGATGGGATGAATTCAGTCAGTTCATCCAAAAACACCTGCGCCTTGTCCTCCTCATCGAACATGAGAACGATGTCGTCTGAGTACTCCAGATCGACAAGGTTTTCGTCACAGGCTATCCGGACAGCAGGGTTTTGGAGATCCTCCACGATTGGTCTCATTATTTCATCGATCACGATGTTAAAAAGGATGGAGAGTGAACATCCCTGATGGACACAACTTTCTGTACGGAGGTTTTTGGAGAGATCTCCGTACACTTTCACACTTCCGGAAGTTTGCGAATACAAAGGACATATCATGTTTACAAACGTTTGGGGTAGTCTTTGGCATGTCAACAAGAACAGTCCTATCAACCGAGTCGAATGCGCCTCAGAAATCCAGGAATACTAGAATTGTGGGTCGCTTATACGTATGGCGTTGTTCTAGCGTCTGACGCAGTGTGAAGATTTGGTTAACGCAACCCCTACCAGGCCGGAATCCGTCTTGCTGCTCGCGAGTCAGTACCGCATGAGCCACCATAAGGCGACAAAGCACCTGTGACGCCAACAGTCTCGTTACCACCAAAGTTAAGCTGATCCCTCTGTGGTTACCACACTCACTACGCGCCCGTTTTTAAAAATGGGCACTATCACCGACTCTCCCCAGTCGCCTGGGACAGACTCCTTTTCCGAAATTAACAGTGCTGGTGGGAGGTCATCCGGACCAGGAGGTCGGTGGCGCTTAAGAGAACATATGCAGTCGAAGGAAGACATATGTTGTACTCTGCTTGGTTTTTCTAGGTAAACGCGTTTTTCGAAGGTCAAAATATCGGATGTGTTGGTTTCCAATGTTTTCGTGCAGTTTGAGGGTATTCATTTCAGGGAAGCAGTTCACGTGGCCACTGTGGCCTGTGTGGTCTGAATCAACAACATGAATGAGTTCGACAAATACAAGTGGAACACAAGGTTGCCAAGAACTCAAGAACTGCGCCTGGCCGATAAGCCCCAAGAGGGGCGAAATCGGTCGTGAGTTGTCCAAGAGTTTTTCCAGCAACCTTGTGAGTAGTTTCCTTTATGAGCATACAGTCACTTATGGCGCTTTATCACTGAACAGATTGAAGCGAGCGATGCGAGCTCAAGACGACTGCTTTGAGTCTCACGAAATGCGAACTGCCGGTGAAACAGTTGTGCACTGCATGTCCGCTTGTCTATCGGGGATGAGCATAGGATGGGCCCACCTGGGAAGGAAGGTAATATCGTTGAACCCTGCGGCACCAGGTAGCTATCTACGTGTTCAGATGTGTTGAGCTTTTCGACACTTTGTGCAGCCGCATACTGAACATGTCGTCTCCTGACTTTCAAAGTTTTCTTATGACAACTTACTCAATGAAACTCTGGTCATGCAACAAAAAGATTAGGTGGGCCTAGAAGTTTAACTTGGTATATGACCAACGATTTGCTTCGGACGATTAAAAGACAATGTCTCTTCCTTACCCGTTAATCTTCTCAGGGAGAGGTCAACACCAGTGACCTCTGGTGACGTCAGCTGAAGGCTATCTGTTTTGGCGAGTGAACAAATCAGCTGATCGTCAGTCCGTGGCGATCATTTTAAGACATCTGAGCGATGTAACTCTTGTTAGCGTTCTTTCTTGCCCTGGTTTCTTTTACCGCACTGTTTGAATACGCTGTTTTTGGCGTCTTTGCTTACCTCGGCATTGTTTTGTTAGTCTGGTCACTCTGAGATCCGAACTGGTTTCTTGTAATTCATCAACTGTATCAACACGTCTCTGTCTTATAATTCGCATGGACAGGAGTATATCGTGCACACGAATCAAAGCTCATCAGGCTTTGTATTTAGTCGTTGTGTATAGATCATCTGAGGCCGACTTCCAAGTCGAGTGAATTCCATATGCGTTTGATGGGGACTGAGACGAACTTCTGACAGCATTTGAGGCGATCTTCTTGGTGTTCCAGATGTTAAAGCCTAAAGTTGGTAATCGGACCTGTTCCTAGTGGGGAGCAACTCAAGGGATGAGGATTGATGTGGTTTAGGAACGTGAGCATCCCTGGTAAATATCCCTGGAGGCGCAGAACATAGGCTTAGAGGGGCAAGCTGTCCACCTCCTAATGCGTTTAGCGGCTATGTGTAACTGTGGGATATTCTCATTGTACTCAGGTCATGCGGACGTGCACCTTTTGATCCCGCATCCTTCTTAGAGCCTGATATAAGCATATGGTGATGGATCATTAATCTGAAGGGTCCCAAAGCATGACGGGGGTGCATACGGTGCCGTTCATCAGTGATGACGCACAGAGTACTTCATGTCCCACCGGATGGCGATTCTCAAAAATTCCGCCTTGACAGGTACCCAAGTGTGAAAGACCAAAGAAGTAACCAGTGGGGAGAACGAATTGACATCCTCCGCCATTAAGAACAGATGGTTAGTGACGCATTGCTGATCAACCACTTGGAGTTTCTCTGGAACTGCATTTATATCTTGAGCCCTCCGGATTTGCTTCCAAGTCGTGACGTCATTCGAAAACAACTTGCAATGTAATGAGACCGCCAGATTTGGATCTGATGGTGACAGGACACCAGAAGAGCCTTCGTAGTCATCCAAAAATATGTTTAAGGCTGTGAATGGACTTTAGGCCACGATTCTGACACCATAGTTTCCAACATAGGCTGTATTCACCCCACTGGAAGGCTTGTAAGACCCGGTAACACATAAGCGCTGGACCTGATTTCCAAACCGAACTCTCGAACAACTACGTTAGCACTCGACGCGCCTTGCACGAAAATCGCCAATTGTCGGATATGGTGAATAGCAGTAACAACAAAAACCGAAGAACTGACACCGGGAAGGAGTAAGTCTAGATTACTTTGAGCCTGAAACGCTGGAGACCATAAAGTCCTCCGAGCTTTGACCAGTGGCCCAGTTTACAGCACAAAATAACAGAATCACTGGAGAGCCTCTTGATAGCCCTGGAGAGGTAAAAACTTCCATTGAGCTCTGGTGTTGACAGCCTAGTCGTTCTCCGTCTGCTGGAGAACCATGTGGAAGCAGCAGGTGAGTCTAGTCGGAGACAGACGACAGAAGACTAGTGTGAAGCACAAAGACTGGATCTTAGTGAATGTCGTGAGTGCAAATTCAAGAAAACTAACGGGAAGTGTGGCCTTTAAGAGGAGGAAAGTGTTCATTGAGATTGAATGGCATCCAAATTTTCAATTAAGGACTCTTCTTGTAACTGAAACCATTACTTTCTGAAAATATGGAGAGTACCGCCTAGCATCCTTCAAGGGAATCATCAACATGAAACTCCAGTAGATGGTTTCCAATCCGCGGTCTGCCGGCAACCAATTTGAGCACTGAACTGTCAGATTGCTGACGGCTGTCCGGCAGTGTGTTTAACTCACAGCAAAACGGAATATAGCTCCATTCATCTTAAAAAAACGGAAACCAAGTAACGTATTCTTGTTTTAACTGGCGGTTCAGGTGACTAGTTCTCAAATGGAAGTTTCACTTATCTCGCGAATTTGTTCTTCATTGGAGCTACTTATAGGCTGATGGTAGTGTGAGGATATGTGGTAATTTTCAATTGAGGCCCAGTGAAGCGAATTACCAAAACTGTGCCAAAAACAAACCGATATTACTGAGAAAAAAACTGAAAACTCTTCCACACTGAGTTGTGTTCACTTCTCTATCCGGAGCGCCCTATTTCTACGAAGCAGAGTAAACTTTGTGCACTGTCCAGCGTCGACATAACATACCGAATGCCTCACACGATTTCGTTCATTGTCACCCTCAATCGGCTGTATTGATTGATTTTCGACAAAAGCTAAGTTAATCACGTGATGTGCAAAATGTTTTCGGAACATGCTATTAAGTTAGGCACTTTCGCAGCTGGTCGTGTGGTTAACACCAGGCTGCATTACAGGTAACCGTAAAATGGATGGATGGATGGATGGATGGATATGAGCTAGGGGCTAGTCGGAACGAAAGAACACATTTGTTGCATAGACACTATTTCGACGACGCTAAAAATAGACTGACGCTCATTGCAACTGAAGCCGAAAGCAGGTAATCTGTCAGCAGATAAGAAATCCGTTTTGTTCCAAAATGACGGATTATCGTCGGGGGTAATTCAGCTGATATAAATGCCTTGAGAATTTCGTCCAGTCATTCGATTATTCATTCACTTCCCATCCATCCATTAATTAATAATTTATCCGGTTACTCACCTATTCCAGGCATCTTTTCATACATTCATTCATTCGATCACCTAATCCCCCCTCCTCGCATTCCACTCTGATTTCATTGATTAATTAATTAGTCGATCAGTTAATTTCTTTATTTGTTCATTCATTTATTTGTTCCGACATTCGCCCATTCATTACGGAAGTTTTTCGGAAACTCATCGTCTTCTCTGCTAACGACGCACATACTCCAAGGTATCGCTTTCATTCCTCTTATTACTGCAGATTTCACGTCGCCTATTTGATTACTACTCGTTTCCATCAGTCTATAATAACCATTCATTATTACGTTTCTGTCCACCCCAGGATTGACTACCTTGCTCATCTTCTATCCACTCGTTTATTGTGCTCGAAGACAATGTTTCAATTTGGAACAAGAATTATCCTATTGTTCTCAGAAGCTCAAAGTCAAAATGCCTGTTAATCAACTGGCCGGCTACAGTTTCGGTTATGGATCACTGAACGACACCGAGTACATGTGTCGGTGAGACAAGTGTTTTTTTTTGTGTGTGCATGTATGTACGTATGCTTATTCACAGTCATTGAATCCGACGGTTGTGGCTATTTGCGGTGAACAAAAACAACCATTTGTCCGAAGCGATTACTTCGTCAAAAACGATGGATTATTTTCATGGGCGAAACTACTCACAAGGTTGCTGAAAACTCTTCGACACCCTACGACCGGCTTCGGCCTTCTTGGGGCTCATCAGGTAGACACAGTCCCCGAGTTTCCGCCAACCTCATGTTCTAGTTGATCCCAAATTGGACTGTTTTCGAGAAATACACTCATTTGCAAGTCAATATGGTTTTCACGGGGGAATCAATTGAATCTCTCGTTTATGATGTCCTCCAGCTGAATGTGCTGCACACAGGCCGCCTCATGATTCAGTTGGCACGATATTCGAGATATCGCAGCATATTTTCATAAAAGTAACTAATCCCAAGGTTGCTGAAAACTCTTCTACAGCCCACGACCGGTTTCGCCCTTCTTGGGCTCGCCAGGTAGGCGCTGTCCCCGATTTTCCGCCAACCTCATGTTCTAGTTGATCCCAAATTGGACTGTTTTCGAGAAATACACTCATTTGCAAGTCAATATGGTTTTCACGGGGGAATCAATTGAATCTCTCGTTTATGATGTCCTCCAGCTGAATGTGCTGCACACAGGCCGCCTCATGATTCAGTTGGCACGATATTCGAGATATCGCAGCATATTTTCATAAAAGTAACTAATCCCAAGGTTGCTGAAAACCCTTCTACAGCCCACGACCGGTTTCGCCCTTCTTGGGCTCGCCAGGTAGGCGCTGTCCCCGATCCAACTGAAACATGAGGCGGCCTGTGTGCAGCACTTTCAGTTGTAGAATATGATAAACGAGAGATTCAGTTGAGTCTCTCGTGAAAACCAAATTGATTTGCAAATGAGTGTATTTCTCGAAGTTTCAAGAATGTTTTCATTGTATAACGTCAGTTAATCTCCCAGTGGTTAGATCAGTCTCAACCTGAATACCAACAGCTCCGATAATAGACCTCAAGGTAATTCTACACATCACCGTGGAAACCGTTAAATGGAGCGCTTTCTAGTTCATTTGTGCTCTTCTTTCGTCCACACAGTACCAAGTGGCACATACTCGTGTTTCACTGCATGCGGAAACGCTCAGAGGAGGCCTGCCGAAATTCTGAAGAGGAAATGTTCAAACAGCTGATCTGGTCAATATCGCTAGAGACAAGGAAGCTGGAGCGTGCCGCGGCCTATATGTGTCATGAGCATAATCTACGCAGTAAGTTTTCGTGCGAATATTACGTGTACTTTGTGGTTTGATCACATTTAGGTGGGTTGGTGTCGTTCGTTTATTACTTTGGTCAACCAAAGCGCTTTCTGCGCGTTTGACAACCATGTGTGCACTTGAAAAGCGTCGTGCAAATTTGGGGGCACTGAGCCTTATTCATCATACACATTTTTACTGTATATATCTATGTTTAGTCGTAATATTTATCGTTCCTTGTGTCCTGATAAGGTGCTAAACTAGAAACGTTTCCAGAATGAATTCAGATCAGTCTGGTTCGGAGATATTTCAGCGTTCGCAAGGGCTTATAAATTACATAGCTGATATTACAATGCTCAAACGAGTGACCTTGATGGAAGCGAAAATCTTGCTTTTTCCCCCGAGCAAAAACGCCCATAGACCGTCCATCATCTGGATATAATCAAACTTGGTTGTGCGTCCTCATTGGATCCAGTATATCGGTAATATGAGGAGGTTTTTGAATTTTTTTTAACCACGATTTAGTCCTGTAATTAAGAACGGTCGGCTCCGGAAAGTTGAGAAGTGCTGTACGACTGTTTTGTGCCTGTCTAGAAACTAGCATTGAACCAGAGACCTCCGGGCTGCTAGTTGAAGATGAAGAGGTCAGGCCACGGGATGTGTGGTGCTATATCCTATCTGAGTGAAAACTAATCAGCCTCTTGTGACCAAATGGCTAAGTGTCGAAAAGGTCTCCTTGAAAGTCCTTCTTGAGATGCGAATGGATCTCGGAGTTGTATATTGCTTCTCCGCACGTCGGCAAAGACGGACTTCATTAATAGGGCAAAAACTCAAGTGAAAAACACATGTGGTTTGTTAAATCTTAATTAACTATTATTTGAATGACAGGAAGCTAACTAAAATGTTTGATATCTTCCCCGATCGATCGTTTCGTTACCGGCTCTAACCTAGCGTCCAGTGGTACCGCCTTGTTGAACCTTCCCATTTGAGGTGGTGCCATGCCTGGAAACCTAACGAAAGTAGTATAAAACAAATTGTATTTCCTTCGTTGTCTGAACGTGGCATTTCAAGTTTATCCATTCCTCTGCCGATCTCGTGAACTCAGGTCTGACACTTTACTAGCTGAGTCATTGAATTGATTCGATGGAGCGTGAGTGCCCTAAGTGACTTCGCAATGTCTCAAGCGACCATATTGCCTTTCATGGGCATTGGTGCAGTGAAATATACGAATTCAGTGCCCTATAAATAAATCACGAGTCAGTAAGGGTTTATGAAATATAGTTTTCAAGCTTTCGGGCCAATCTGGAGAACTGTTTTGGGCTACGCAACTTACTCAAGGATCATCATAAACGGGAGAAATTCATCTGTCACTATTAATCTGAAATAAAATAGGAAACTTCACCTCTGACCTCATTTAATTTTAATTAATTAATTACCTAATTAATTAATTAAATTTTAATTAATCAAATGGGCAATTTAATAATTGATTGATGAATTAAATTTATATTATTATATTACATATAATCATTATATTATTATTGAATTAATTAATTAATTCAATTTCAATTTATTGAATAGGCAATTTGGTAATTACTTGATGAATTAAATATATTTTATTTAGCGGCTGGCCTACGTTTCGCCAGTAAATGCGGGAACAATAACGCTTGTTAGCCCACTCATTAGTCTACCACCGTTAAAACGGTTCATCTATTTTCAGAACTCCGCTTTCTCGCAGACATTCGCTCTAGGTTTTGGTTTAAATTTTTGTCCTGAGACGAGAAAATGACTTCCTTCTAACGGAATCCAAGGCGTTCTCACAAAGAAACTTCAGAAGTTTTAAAGAACGTGAACTCATCCTATCCCTATGGATGTCTGACTCCTCGTTAAATAATGCATCACCCCATCTCAGGGAAATGAAAATCCAAAAAGTTTTCACGAGCCTTCAATGACCGCTTAGAAATGGAGAAAGAGCTGCAGTCGAACCACTGGTTAGGTTGACGAACAATTCTGCTATTTCGCTTGTTCGCATTTTCAGTACCACGGGTAAATGTTTGCTCAAGTGCGCCATGTAATAATGTGAAAATAAAGGGTTCCGTTGATGTGTAAGTTTCAGGTTTGCCAAGTGCCGTAGATTCATAACGTGCCACTGTTATCGATCCTTCTGGCTGTATAAGATTCAGATATATCTTGACCTTGTCTCACAGCTGAAGCATTCTATCTTGTCGTTGAATGAGTTAACTGAAAGTCTCATTTTACCTGAAAAATACTACTCATAAGGTTGCTGAAAACTAAACAGACTTCGATTCTCTAGACGTCTATTTTATCTTCACGGTGAAGACTGAACTGATTAACTCTCCTCTGGCGTTCATGGCTCCAGTCGCGATATTGTCTTTCTGATACTGTATTATACGTGGGCTTTCAAAAAGTTTCCCTGTTGTACTCTGATATTCTTTAGGTTACCTATCCCTCACCAAAAGTGATTTGTTGTCTGCAGGTGCAAATAAATTCTAACGAGTTGGGCACTTTGTCGTAAGAAAATGCACCAGCGTTTCAAGACTTGCCTTTCGGTCTCAAGCGTGAGACCTATGCTGTAACTAACCCGTGTTTCATGCTTATTCACGAGAAGATGTGACGATTTAGGCGGGTGTGAGACAACTCATGGATTTAGTCCAAGCAAGTGAATCCAGAAACGCTTATGTCACTAGATGACAGCAGGGTGTGGCTTCAACGGAGGTCTAAGGGTTGAAAAAAACAATGCACAAACTTCGATTTCTGAGTTGGAAAATATATTGCTCGACCCGTCGTATCTACTCGGAAAATTGGTGTGAAGAATGTGGTAATACTGTTTCAAACTTGTCTTGGCGTTATCCTTCCTCTTCGTCGACATTCGACTATTTTTCAGGGCTCAATGAATTGGTGTCATTCGCTGGTCTTCCTGCTCATCTTTGACTCAGATCAAGTTGCTAGACTTTGCTGGTTTCTGTTCGTCTAGGAATTTGATACGAGGTATTTGCACCGACATGTTGGCGTCATAGTAACCAAGGTGAAAGCCACCGTCAAAAAATGCAGTTAGCCTCAGCCACCGGCGTCCTTTCTTCTGAAGGACAGCCACTAGATTTTAATCAGCGTGGGGTTTTGTTACGGAATCGTTTACTGTATTAGCCTCTATTCGGAGTAGGTAGGAGAAGGCCGAACATGATAAATTCTGAGCGCTTTAACCAACTAGAAACCCTTGCATGTCTCACAGTTAAGAAATCTATACTGGCACATTGAACAGTTCTCACTTGAAGCGTACTGAGTGCTCCTTGAAAAGAACGCACGTGACATGCAGTTGTTCTTTGCAAAACTTCAAACTATGGACATATAAGTAGTAGGTCATCCATGCGGACTGTCGGAGAGTGGGAACGGCTGTCTGATCGTAAGTAATGTCATACGAATTGTGAATGAACTATTTGTGTCATACCCAACCCTATCCGATGAGCGAGTTAGCGAGGACCACACTAAGCCTGAGTACCAACCAGTTGAATACTACCATATCCATTCACCTGGTGAGTTGTAATGTTGCCGAAACGCTTTACAGATTACTTATTCAGGGCCAAGGCATTCCAATCTTCAATGAACCATCATTTTTCACAAACCATCTTGAAAACCATTCCACGGATTAAACATGTTTTAAATCCTTATTCGAATGGAGTTTTATTAACCTGCGTTCAAATAGCTACACGACTTGTGGTTCATTATGCTTCCCCGGCTTTCAGGTTTTCTTTGTAGCTTTCAACCACTGTTTTGTTGCCACCATTCGATAAAAATACCAGTAGGTAGTTACGGCGATTATTTCGTACTTAAATTGAATTTAAAATTAAATAATAACCCTGAGGATTGATAGACTACGTGGGGACATGTTTGTGAAATTATATCATTCACATTGTGCGTTAAATTTAGCGTCTCCGTACACTACCATCGATACACAAGTGTATCGGCGGATACTACTGATGAGGTGTGTGAGTAGCCTGTGGTTTTCTCGTAACTCCGCCTCGCTTCAAAGGGAATGTGCACTCTATGTGGTTTATTACGGAACCTGTGGAACCGGTTCGCAGCGTTTGTTTACAATTGCGTGTTGGTCAATGAACATCGATGAAGGTCCAAGAAGACGCGTGAAGTTGTTCAATTTTTAATAACGATTTGCATATTGGATGTTTACTTTCCTGTCCAATAGTTTGTAACAGTCTAGTTAGTGACCGCTAATAAGCGACTTCGGAGCAAGGTGATTTCCTTCCTACACAAGCATCTCAGATGAAGGGAAGTGCGCAAGATGAGTGAAATTTCCATCTAAGAGGTTGTCCCTCGGGCGACCAGTTAACATGTGAACACGTGACGTGCCTTCGGTGATTGGAGGATCGGTGGCGCTGTCCTGTCTGGGTGAGAGTTGATCACAATGCTGGTCCACTGCTCGTGGCCGAACGGTCAAGTGTTCAAGCACTGGACGGAAGGTCGCGGGTTCAAAACCCTCTACTGGAGTTTAATGGGATGCGCTCTGGTGATGACTCCCAATGTGGATGAAACAACTACTTCTCAGCATAGATGGATTTCATTTACCAAATCTCCCACGACGTAAACCACTGATGGTTTCAAACAAAGAAAAAAACAGTTTTCTAGCACACAGCAGTTTTCTTCTTGCGTCGAAACCTGTTCGCATATTATGAATTATATTAGAAGGTGACAAAACAACCGTTCGTTGGTCTACAGAACGTGAATTGCTCGAGTGGAGGTCAAACTGAACCAGTTCTTGCCTGATTGTAAGTTTGCGGAACTTACGTCGCTCGGATGCTCAGCTTGATTGTTGGTCTCTTTGTCAAGCTTCGTAGTTGGGTTGCAAAAGTTCCGTCACTAAATGAGGTGACATCACCGTACTGATGACTAACAGGCCCGACTACGAGAGTGTCACCGCCAGGTGTCCACCCTCTCATCTAAAACGCCGTCAGTTCTAATCATCTTGGTGATTTCTGGGCTTCCA